CAAAATAAACTACAGTAAAATAAGTAAAACTTTTTCATTTCTGAGTGACACAGCCTATTAACACAGAGGAGGTCAAATCAAATCAGAGCCCATCAAATTAAAAGTAGCATGTCAAGACAGAAATACCCCAGCAATGCATACCATGCTGAGCATCCACAAAGTACTAAATTGGCCAGATGATTGGCTATTAAAATATGTGAAATTAGCTTTTCATTGCATAACATCTATCGCAGCATGAGCCTTTTAGCATAATGGATGAGATGAAGGTGAAAACTGAATCAGAGAAGAGGAAAGAGTTACTGAAGGGCTCAGAGGCCAATTTAATTTCATTCTAAATTTGTCCTTTTTTCATCCATGTGCAGAAAGAAAGTGAGCATTCTAATCCAGATATGTTGTTTACCTATGCTCGTGCTGAAAGAGGTACAAAAATGAAATGTGAAGGACTTGGATTTTTCTGTTAAATGTACAAAACTGTGGCTCTAATAAACATTTAAAACTAAAGTGGCGGAAGGTCTGTTTGACAGATTTCACAGGATCATAAGCTCATGCTGCATTCAGGGCTACACAGCCAACAATGGCTAACACAGAATTGTGTCATACACAGATGATAATGATGTTGTGAATATAGAGATCAAAGTCTTCTCGCTCTGGTGATTAAGCGTCCTAACAAATGCATGTATGAGGACAGCCTTATCACCTAGGACCACACAGAGGCCTTTCCATATCTGCCGCTCTCAGATGGCCAACCTGTGCCTGCCATGCGCTGTGCTGCCAAATAATAAAAACACCACAGGCATTGCCTCTGTGGCCAGCCTGGCCTGTTCATTTGCCTGATGAAAAAGAGTTTCTCAATTTAGTAAAAAGAAAAAAAAAAGTTCCCAATGCCTTATCACCTCAGGACAACTACTCAGTAATTAAATGAAGCAGAGGAAGGACAAAAGTCTGGAGAATTTGTTTGGCTTGTTAAAACTTCACATCCACTGTGAACGTGTTTACCAAAGCTCCAATTCTGAGCCTACGGCACAATTTATGTATCTTTTTTGTTAGCTGGGTAAATGATCTTCATTAGTAAACAACTGGAAAAGGAAAATAAGAGTGGAACAGCTTTATATAAACATTAATAAGTTTCATTTTAAAGTTGCCTCGGTGCCTTTCACCTTGCCTAAGCAGAAAATACTCCTATTCAGCATACAGCTTGTTTTCTTTATACGCAGGTTGACAAATTGGCTTGACCCCTCGCTGCAGCTTCTCGGAAGGTTTATAAATGTTCTGAACCAGCGTGATTAAGATCGGCTTCAGTCATTACACTAATGGACATGCATTTTAATTAATGACATCCTCATTTGCATTGCATGTTAATTATCTAAATCATTTTGTCTCATCTGTTCACTGTAATTAGTACCTATCAACAGCTTCACTGAATCAAGCTATTTCCAAGAGATAACCCTGCCACTTTCCTAGTTCACTGTGACAGAAATGCTTGGTTACCTGGCCAAAGTTATTATGTTTAAGGTCATATAAAAAAAACAACAACATAACTTTATAATCTGGTTGGTATGAAGTTGTTATGAAATTAATTATTTACTTAATCCATAATAACTAAACATGTATGTACTATATTACAAATTATTATTATTATTATAATTATTATAAAGCCCAGTATTCTATTGGATTTAATCACACAGCATAATAATTGCTCTAACGTGTTATATCTTGTTTGTTTAAACCAAAGTGTGAACAGGAGTTACGTGCAGGACTATTTCTTGGCCAGGAAAAGTAACTTCCTTTAGTCTCCACTGGTTGCCTAGAAACTGCTCTTGGCCGAGAACTAGTCACGTAACCCCCTATAAAGGTATGTCACAGTTCAGAGAAAGAAGGCTCATTCTTAAACGCCTATTCAGGTGATTTACCAATAACATACCCAATTCAATTCTCAAGATAATAATAAGTTAATGGGTTTTTTTCTTATGGCTGGTTCATGGTTTGGTCCCTAGGATGTCTTGTCATTTGTACTGTAAGTGTCTTTGTGTGCGGACCACAGACTGTATAACAAGATGAACAGTGCATCGCTTCTTACCCCCACTGTGTAAAAAACTTAAACAAGGTTTCCAGGATACCAGCATGTCCATCTTGCACTTTTGGAGCCAGAGTCTGGAGCTGCAGCTAATATGATGTCACCCATTGGTTTGTGGACACTTGTTCTGAAGCCTCAAGTCTAGCATTTCGGCTGTCCATCTTGTCTTTGGAGTCAGAAGAGACCATATGTAGACGAGAGGCTGGCGCGGTAGAGGAACAAGGGGTGGATCTGACTGAGAAGCCGAGGACACTTACAGTGTCACTTTAAGCAATAACAAAATGTTAATGGGGAAGTTTTGTTAAAATTCATTCCTCAGACAGTTGTCATGAAGGGATAAATTAGCTATAGAGACAAAACTTTTTTGTATCAAGCTGTAAACATGTTTATTTCTGCTGCAAAGTTAGGCATTTTAACATGGAGGTCTACGGGGACTGACTGAGCAAGCCATTGGAGGAACTGCAGTTTTCGGCACTTCAGCACTGGCTTTGTTTTTCAGCCCTGGAGGGTGCCGCTTATCATACACCTGTCCAGCCCAATCTCAAGCAATGCCATTGATCTTGAGCACACCAATTGCCGTGCAGAGCTGTCAGTCATTACGTCACACTCTCCAGGGTTCAACGCTAAGGTTTTTTTTCACTTGCCCGGTAGGGCAAGTTGGTCAGAGATCTACTTAACCAAAGTCAGTTTTTACTTGCCCTATAAAAAATGTTTAATTTAAGAGGCTATCAAATAACAAAGACTGCAGTTATTTTTATGTTATGTAATCTTTATTCACACTGTATTTATTAATTAAAACAACATATGTCATGTATTGTAGCTTAATTCCTACACAAAAATGACAGTGTCAGGGCTTAAAGTGAAAAATTTGTCAATCGTTCTCCGTCTATAATTTTGGGCCCTACTTGAGCCATGCCCACCTCTATTTATTTTTCACCCCTCTCTCCACTTCTGCTGTATTAACACCAGGTTTAATATATTTTGCTTCCATCTCTCTGCCCTGCTCTACTGTAGGCCTACTTCAACGCTACTTAGCTCTCTCTCTACTCTACCAGTAGACTACCACATCCACCTGTTGCACAAAACGCACACAGCATTGTTTCCCCTAGGATGGAGCTGTAGCAGCGGAGGTGAAGCACACGCATGAAAAATAATTTTCACATGTGTGAAACTTTTTTGTATGCTTGCAAAGCACAGCCTGCTGGGATGTTTCTGTGTATCTACTGGCACCAGAAGGGCTCTTTAGGACTAATGTGTGCACAGTAATGAGCAGGTGAAATGTCTGTCTAGCTTACATATGAGGTGTCTCAAGATTTAGGAACATACAATTTTATTGAATATAATAAAGTAAAAAGTCACTTGACATGCTGCTGTTTTGTGCTATGACCTATTTAAGTGTTGGAAGTTGTTATTTATGTGACAACGCCTAAACGCAACACAAGCTCAGCATGAGTGCCGTGCTGCCCTGCTGTGCGAGCAGCGTGTTTGTCTGTGTGTAACAGCAGTCTGTTGACGGTTATTTACACACTGTCCATAACAATAACTTTGTCAGCTGACAAACTGCACCGGGCTCGGGGTCAGGTTTGGTCAGGAAAATGTGGCCTGAGCCGCTCTAGCGTGATCACCTGTGTGTGTGTGGCGGAACTCTGCCGTGCACGATGCAGAGAGCAGAGGAGAATTGTTAACGCGTGACCATGTAGAGACAGAAATGACTTGATGACATAACACCATGAATAGTATATTGTTATGTTATTATATGAAGCGTCCGTCGCGCAAAATAATATCAGTGGGGGCTGTGGGCAGGACACTGTTACACAGCTGTGCCTGTGACTTCAGGCAGAGACACCGCTGCATCAGAGCCGAAGGAGCACCTTTCAAAATACATTTATTTTATCAATTAGTTATTAACGTTTACTATTTTTAGCAACTTGCCCGATCGGGCAAGTGAGTTGTTAGTTTACATGCCCGACCGTGAGTTTTACTTGCCCCAGGCAATTGGGCAATCCTTATTGTTGAGCCCTGCTCCCTTTTATAGCATCAAATAACTAATTAAGCCAAATTTAGCCAGCAGGGGGAGATGTTTTAGCTTCACTTTAGGGGAGCAGTCACTTTGTCCATCTTTATATACAGTCATTGGTGCTGACTTCTCATTGTTATATGGAATGTGTGATGGTCACTTGACTGAAATAGTTAAAGAATTGAATTGGCAATAGTGCCAGGAGCGGATTTTTGTTACTTATTCACTCATTCTGCACATCCGTCTGAGAAATGATAATGAAATCACTTTTCTAAAATGAAGACACATGCCTTCACAGATGTAGTCGTGTGCTAAATATGTGTGAAAGTAAAGTTAAAAAGCCAACTTTCCTCTAACTTTCCATCTCTCATCACTCGTCTGGAATTCCAATACAACCAATCACACAGTAAAGTTGTTGTGATTAGCCGGTGTTTACGTTGCTGTTGTCAGACGACTCCACGATCAATACTGATTTGATCAACAGTCTCCGTGCAGAAGCACAGGAATTGCTATTTACCTTGGTTAACAAGTGGTGTTTATGAGCTGAGGTCAAATCATTATTTCATCTTCATTGAGTTGTTTGATATCAGAAAATGAAATAAATAAATAAATAAGTCAATGTGAACAATTAATTTGTGGTTATATATGAGACAAAGCTCTGTAACAGCTCCGTGATGCCCAATCTTAGTGTTTGCTTATAGAAAGAGGAGAAAGAAGAAGAGATTTAACCATGTTTCAGTGTGGATATATATTAAAAAAGAAAAACTTTAGTGTCAATACTGCCTAAATCTTTAAGGTAGACTGAAATTGCATGAGTCAATAGACACCGGCTGCATTTCCACAGTCTGAGACTGAGAGAGAAAGTCTGCAGCCAGACGCTGCACAGAGGAACAAAAAGAAATTTCTTACCTGAGAGTAAACATCTCCACAGGAGAGTAGGCTGACACAGTGATAAAAGCAGAGACAGTTTCCCTCTGTCTCATGGGTGTGGCTGGCACCATGACCATAAAGTTATTATCCAGCCTGTGTTCAGCGAGGGGTGGCGGAGTGGGGTTCTGGTAGAGCCTCACGCCACCGATCCTCCGCAGCGGTGTGGAGGTGTACGAACCAAACAACCCTTCCTGGCTTGAGCGGATGAAGTTGTCCTTCCTGGCCTCCTCTGAGTGGCACTCCCCTGCTTCTGTGGACTGCAGCATGTAGTAGAGCTCCACTGGCGTGCCCTCAGACACTTCAAGGTTCCTCTGGCGTCCCGGCACCACGCTGGGTGGGCTGAACCAGCTGGCCAAGGGCTCCAGCTCAGCCACGCACAGCCCCAGCCCCCCCTTCAGCTGGCAAGTGCCACGCACCTCCTGGGTCTCATGGAAAGCAAACATGTGCACGCAGGGCAGCTTGTCGATGGTACTGTAGTTGTCCCAGTCCCTGCCTGCGACATAAAACAGCACCTGGACTTTGGGCTTGGCCAAGTGAATCCTGGTATTCATGATAAAGGTCTGAACCTTCCAGTTGAAGGTAAAAACAGACGAAGCGGGAAACATCCCCGGGCTCTGTAGGAGCTCTAAAGGGACAGGCTGCTCCACAGAGAAAGGCCCGTAGCTAGTGTTCATGGAGGGCAAACTTCTGGCCTGGTATATGAAGAAGGGCTCAGTTCGTGACATCAGGCTAGAGTTCCTCATGAAGTCCTGGTTGGCTTCCTTTAGGAAGAATGCCAAGTCTGCGTTGAGCACCTGGTAGTTGACCGGCAGGTATGTGGGGATGGAGGAATATCTCTGTAATCCCTCTAAGACTCGACAGTCGGCTACTAAAAGACAGAAAAAGAAGTGATGAGTCAGGGCAAGCTCACTCGCTGTACACAGACAGTCTTTAATCAAAATAGAAGCTTTTGCTATTTGAAGCAGTGAAAACATGCACTGCACTCTCATGGTAAAACAGATGTGTGAGGGTAAAGCTCAAGTCCGACTAACGTCCAATGGTCACTTCACTGATAGTACTGTGCTCCTATTCACGGTCACAGTTAGGCACCCAAACTACTTGGTTATTGTAGGTTTAGAAAAAAATAATGATTTGAGTTAAACTAAGTAAGTTTGTCATGTAGCTTAAGTTAGGTACATAAGTACTTAACATAAGTTAACTTTCATGCCTTGAAAAGCAGTTGGTTAGGATGATGTAAAGACCATGGCTTTGGTTCAAAAGATCACTCTCACATCTCGCAGGAGGTTTGTGAATCTGGGTTTATCATCGAGACACAACCTGAACTCCTCCCCACTAAAGACTTTGTCGCTCTTTATACTACTTCACCTGACTTCCTCCTTTGTTCCCATCATAATTACTCCCACCACAACAGATTGTCATCTAACAATAGGGTTGCAATAATATGCTATTTGCACAGATGTGAGGGGGGACAGTCTGTCCTATTCATAATATATGTTTTCCTACCACTTACAATCTCTGCCTCGCTCAAACCATTATGTGTCGCTGGCAGTGCAAATCAGGTTGTGAGAGATCTGAAGCATAGTGAAGTGTTTGTGTACTGTAACTAAACAAAGCAGGACAAAGAGAAGACCCAGACATCTGGAATAAGTACTGAGAATTTTTCCATCGTATCATAATTAGTGCTGAAACAATTAAGCAATTAATCAAACGATAAAACAAAACTAATCAGCAGTTTTTATAATCAACTGATGAATTAAGTGTATTTGCTGGTTCCAGCCTCTCATTTGCTGCTATATCACTGTAAATAAAGGAAAAATGGGCTTTGGACTGCCGAACAAACAGTAAAGTCATCAGTCTGAGTCAGGGCTCATTAATACTACCCAGTCCAAAGATATCTGTGTGCAAAACTGACTTGCTAATTTTTTACCTTCAAAAACATATAAAATTACAAAAATATAAAATATAAAATTTACTCAGATTGTCGACAACATCATCATCTATATATAACAGTAAGACAACATGTTACTCTACATTACTTTTATTTTCAAATACTGACTGCATACACTACAAGTTTTTTTTTTCTCATGTATAAATTACTATTGTAAATTCCGCTACTGCAAACTGCCTTGATGAGAATTAGTTATTGTTTAACAGCATTTTTTGACCATTTTGACCAAGACCATTTTATTTTTAAATGCAAAAATGACTAAAATCCACTGGTAAAATAAATAAGCCCCTTAAGGCTAATTTGTAATTTGTAAAATTGGGCAATATTTGGATAAAACTCACTTACTAAACTTGCTATGTGCTGTATAATCGAGTTTTCATTTTGTGTGCTATGTGAGACTTTGAGATCAAAAGTTGCGAACACTATTTTGTGTAAAGTGTGTTTTTTGACTAAACTCTGCCATGCAAACTGAGCAAAACCAAATGTGAAATATTGTAATATTGTACTTAAGCACTGTAGTTTCAAAAAGTCATTTGTAAACCCACTGGAATCCAATTAAAGTTTGAATTATAAGGCCCATGGGGGTCCGGTGCCGCAGGGTAGTTGCCCGTTTTGCCCGGTTGGTAATCCAACCTTGGTTGACCCTCAGCACTTTTTTGGTACTGACAGATATGTGTCCACACCAAGTATAAAAATGTGTCAAGAATTAAAGGTTACCACTGAATGCCTTATAAGATTCATAATCTAGTTTTCCACCCTTCGATCAGATAGCTCCTGATGGAAATCATAACTCTGCCAATTTGATTTTATGACGGCAAAGTTCTTGTATCTGCATATGTTTTTATGCAACACTGAACAATTGAGAACATTTGCTTCCTTCCACAACAAGATTTTGGAGAAAAATATTTTTATATTGAACCTCAGCACACTGAAACTGACCAAAATAAAATCTGGTAGGAAATTCTGAATGAATCAGTTATATATACAGTACTCTGTCAAGGGTCCAGTAAAAGGAGGGAATGTTATCAGTTATGTTTAGACATACAAACAACTAGTATGACTGCTTACAAATTCATCTACCATCATAATCACAATTAAGCCCAATAGGTGCCGTTTAGCCCCCTTCAATGTTAAGAACCATCTCACAGTACAAACTCCTTTGTCACCGCCCATGGCCCCACTGGTTGAGAAACAGCACAGCCTACATAAAAAAAAAAAAAAAAAGATTTAATCACAATAAGAGTGGGCTTTGACCTTCTTCTCAAGAGCAATCTGCTGTGTGATTACACTCCCTCAGCATACCCCCATCTTCCTGCAAGCTGCCAGAGGATTTCTTTCCTCTGATCACCCGTGTAAATCAATGTCCCAACAGTTTACAAATCAGACAGGGATTTGTGATTCATAGTGCCCCTCATGACCTCAGTCCTGCTGTCCCACTGGGGGATACAAGGGTGCAGACAGGCTCTAACCCTCAACCCAGGGGCAGCATCGGTGCTACTTACGGCATCAGTTAGCTGCGTCAGAGTAAACACTCGAATCCGGGCCCTGTGTTTATGGCAGGGAACACAGACTTCTGAGCAGCAGAGCACCACAGAGCAATTTGTATTTTCCCTGAACAAGCAGGAGCCTTGTGTTGTTGGTTGGCAAGAGCCATTGTTGTAAACGTGGCATTGCGCTGCCGACAAATGAAAAGCATGATAGTCCGGCAAGACAGAACAGCGAGGAACAAAGTCATTCTCTGGGTCCCTAGGTAGTAATGCTACTCTCATGTCTGAGCCCCAGTGTCTCAGGTAAAGTCAAAGCAAAGTGCTCTCTCCACAGGAGTACGCTCTTTAATCCCTGTGTTGAAATGTGATTTACTGTTTTCACAGCTGACAAAAATGATTTAAATGCGCGCACATGTGTGCTTATACAAACAAGTTGCAAAATAATACTGCATACATATAGCTCACTCCTCATACATATAGGCTACAATACATATTCAAATGCATATGAAAGATTCGGTGTGCAGGATTTAAGGTAGGGATCGACCAATTATCGATAATATCTGCAGATATTCGGCAAATTTATGATAATCGGCATCGGCGTTTTTTTTTCACCGTTAACCGATAAAATACGTTTATTTTAAAACGCACTCCTCTGGCTCTGATACAGCCTCTCTATGCCTGAAGTCCCACCCACTGTTGGTTGTGTAACAATGTCCCGCCTACAGTCCCCACTGATTGGTTACACAAGTGATAGCCAATCAACGCTGAAGCTTCTACATGCAGCCAAGTCATCACCAAGTCATCAAGTGAACATGACCTGGAGCTCCTTTACTTAATAAAAAGAAGACGGAAGTTAACTCAAAATATAACTGGCATGAGTGCCACAAATGTGGAAAAACAATTAGCGCATGGTCCACTAGCATAATGCTAACATATAATGGAATTCTTCATAGACGCGTTAAAAGAAATTAGCATCGGCACCGCAACGGCATTACAATGACAAACAATAAAGTGCAAGTGAGCAATTCTACATAACATGAGCAACTAAACTCAGAGCAATACCTGTGTACTTACAGACATATGTTTCCTGTGCTCTATTAAACTTTAACCTTTTTGTTGTGCACTACTGCAAGTCTGCATATTCTTCTTCTAACACTACTCAACACTAAAAAGGTATGACGACTTAAACTCAACTCGTGCGCCACCTAGTGGTGTGGCGGAGTCGCTGCATCAAGACAGGCGGCACAATTTTATATATATATGTATATAAAAACGCTATGGGCAGCTCCCTGCACTTCCCATTTTCATCTGCTATTGTTGTGTTCACAAAGATTACCACTGCCAACCACTGTTAGCAGTCCCTCCATGACATTTTTTTCTTTCTTTTATGTGACACTGCTTTAATCAGTGTTTTAACTGATTTAAATCAGCGAGTTTGTTTTGGAGAGGAGACCTCTGTGCGTAATTCGGCCCCTGGTAAAAGCCTCCTGAACGTCTGGATCGTAACGTATCAGCTAACATAGGTAAGTACACATCAAGCTACAACATCTGGTGCTAAAAAAGAAGCCAACAGCTTGGTTTCTCTAATGGCCACTTGAGGCTGGCTCCAGAAGCCAGGCAGCCCCCATAGACCCCCATATTAAAATGCCCAACTTTACAGCAGAAATAAACATGTTTACAACCTGGTACAAAAAAAAACAGTTTTGGTCTCTACAATTAATTTCCACCTTAATGACAACTGTATGGAGGGTGAATTTCTATGTAACTCAACTCTCCCGTTTACATTTTATTAAGGCTTTAAGTGAAGCATAATTAATTGCGGGCTGCTTTGAGTGACAGGCTATTTGAAGACTCAGATAGTGACCTTCTCAGTCAGATCCACCCCTCACTCTTCCACAGTGCCGTTCTCTCATCTAAATATGGTCACTTCTGGCTGCAAAATACCAAGATGGTGACGGCTGAAATGCCAATGTAGAGTCCAAAAACCAATGGGTGACGTCGTGGTAGCTACTTCTTTCAGTCAAAAGAAATACTGATTTGTAACGTGACCGGAAGAGGGAAAGAGGAGGAGACCTCTATGGGTAATTTGTCTCCCGGTAAAAATCTCCTGAACAGTGAACACTGAAAGACTTCTAACTGGGATAAATTTCAGCTGGTTGCAATCTGCAATCCCAGATGCCACTTAATCCCCATAAATCTTACACACTGTTCCTTTAAGTTACTGATTTTGACCAGATCCACCATTCTGCCAGATTTTGATTGTGCACCATAGAAAGGATTTCAAAAAATGAAATTCTAAAAGGTTTGTGAAATCTCTACAAGGCTGTTCTGATAACATTTGACACCAGCAAACTAGAAAAAAAAACAAGACGCAGACCAAATAAATGAGTCTCTGTTTACAACTGCAATGCAAAGAGAGGAGCCTCTAAGAGA